AGAAATGAATTTTTCACTAACCCTATCTTTTAAAAAATTTCCATATTGGTTTTCTTTTATTCGTTTAATCAGTTCAGAAAATAGATCCCAGGCAGCACAGACTTGGGGGGAGTAAAGTCGTTAGCAAAGTCTAATCAGAATTGGTGACTGTTTTGTTTTTTTTAACAATGATTTTTCTTACAGATTTTTTTATTACAAATATTCATGAGATACAAAGCTAATTGTCACCCCTCGTGCCCATGATGTGAAGGCCAGATTCATACTGGGGGCATACCCATTACCAGAAATTACTTTTGTACCCCGTGTCCCCATCCAATTATCTGTCAACGTCCCACCCCCTCCCGTCTCCCGTCCACTCCACTTTGTAGCCCTAGAAATGTCCCCTCCCTCCGCATTACCAACGCTCTATTGTGGTCGTTTTTTTCCTTCCTTCTTTCTCTCTTAGCTCCCACATATGAGAGAGCACATGCAGTATTTATCCCTCTGTGCTTTGCTTATTTCACTCAACATAAGTTTCTCCAGGTTCTTCCATGTCGTTGCAAATGGGAGAATTTCATTCTTTTTTATGGTGGAATAATTAAGTTATAAAAATAAGTTATAAAAGCAAAAATATGTGTTGGTAAGACACCTATTTGGCTGAACTTGTTAGTACAGCCTAGGAGTTGTAAACTCAAGACTTGTAAATATTTCCTTGAATAGTTATATACTTAGGTTTGCTGTTTCTACACAGGTAGCTCCTGATTTAGATCAGCAAGATGGGGGATTTGAGTTCATTAAACATATCTTGGGTCCAGAATTATGCATAATTTATCATAAAGCGATGCATTCTCCTGATACTGTCTTAGATTTTTTTCCTCCTAGGTTGCATAGGATCTAGACTTCTCACTTACTTCTCAGGTTTATAGAATGTATAGATACATTTTTATCTCAGGGATTTTTTTGGCCTTGCCTATCTTTATGTTAGTCATTATCTATTTATGTGATTCAACTTTTCTCCTCATTTGATTTGCTATTTAAACAAAATTTATAATTTTTAACATTTAAATTATATCCAGGTATTCAAAATACTGGATGTTCCCTCCATTGTAGTGTCTTTTGTAATATTTCCTTCCACCTTGAATGTGATAATCCCACCAATAATATCAAGTATATCAGAAAAAAGAAAAATTGTTACAATATCTTTAGAATTATGTTTTTAAAATATTAAAAGATATTCTTAGTTAACTGGATAATTTTCTATATTGGCATGTTTAATGATAGCTCTTGGATCTATGTCAAATCTGCAAACAAGCCATTGGTGTCTGTATGTGTGCTTTTTTTCCGCTCAGCATTGGCGTTATTTTAGCATTATGCCTATAATACCTGAGTTAAAGGTTCTATGTGTGATTGAACTAAGAATTACAGTGTTTTAACTTAGGAAGTACTAAGTAAATATTCATTAATTAAATAAATTAATGATTTTTTTCATATACAGTTTTATGGAAGAAAATTTTTTAATAGTCTATTAGAAATGTGGTGGTTTTGATAAGCAGTAGAAGTAACATATTGGTAAGGGATAGAAAACAGCAAAAACAGGTTTATAACTCACCATCTTATTACTTGACTCAATATCTTAGGAGGAGGAAATGCCGTATATCATTAATACCAGAGATATTGGCATTAATATCAATTAATCCCATTTTTATTCAGTATAAAAGATATGAAAGAATTCCTGAGAAAGTGAGAAAACACTTCTGAACTTGAATCAATCTTGCTTCTAGAGATTTCGTATAAAATATATTATGTATTTTTAATTCTTTTTTTTTTTTTTTTGTCTTTTTCTGTGTCCGGCAACGGATCGCAACCCTCAGTGTTGCCTCCGTACCGGACCGGGACCGGCAACAGGATCACAGCCCTCGGTTGCCCCTGCGCCTCGCTCAGCCAGCAAGCGGGAACCAGTCTGTATGTGGGATCCGAACCCTCGGCGGGAGCGCCGCCGTGCTTCCCGAGCAGCGCACTATAGCAGTGCACCACCGGGCCGGCCCTGTATTTTTCATTCTTAATTCTGTATAAAAATTCACTTTTATATATTTAATTTAAGGTGTTTCTTGTTGACAAGTTATTGGACCAGGCAAATTAGTGTCTACAGCCACCTCATTAACATTTCACATAATCGCATATTTTTTAAAAACCTTATATCTCAAAATTATTTATTAATCGCATATTTTTTAAAAACCTTATATCTCAAAATTATTTATAAAATATTTCATATTTTTATGTTTTTGAGAACAGAAATACCACACCTTCATATCTGCTGATTAAGGAGCATCTAAAACAGAGGAATATGACATTACAATTCAATATAATTTTATATGAATGTTGGCAATTTTTTTTTCTTTCCCTCTTCTCTCATTGCAGTGATCAGTCTGAGTGACTATGATAGAGACAAACGAGACAATGGTGACAGAGTTTGTTCTGAAAGGACTAACAGATTGTCCAGGGCTGCAGGTTCCCCTGTTCCTGCTGTTCTTATTGATTTATGTCATCACCATGGTGGGCAACCTTGGGCTGCTTTTTCTCATCTGGAAGGACCCCCATCTTCACACCCCCATGTACTTGTTCCTTGGCAGTTTAGCCTTTGCAGATGCTTGTTCTTCATCCTCTGTAACCCCCAGGATGCTTGTCAACATCTTAAACAAAGGTCAAATGATATCCCTCTCTGAATGCATGGCCCAATATTATTTTTTTGGTTCCAGTGCAACCACAGAATGTTTCCTCCTGGTAGTGATGGCCTATGACCGCTATGTAGCCATATGTAACCCCTTACTTTATCCAGTGGTGATGTCCAACAGACTCAGCACTTGGTTGATAAGTATGTCATATGCAATTGGTTTTCTACACCCTGTTGTTCATGTAGGATTATTATTTAGATTAACTTTCTGTAGGTATAATATATTACATCATTTCTACTGTGAAATCTTGTCACTGTTTACAATTTCTTGCACTGACCCATCTGTTAATGCTTTAGTTGTTTTTATTTTTGCTGCTTTTATACAGGCTTTTACTTTTATGACCATCATAGTTTCTTATACTCGTGTCCTCTACGCCATCCTGAAAAAGAAGTTTGAGAAAGGCAGAAGCAAAGCCTTCTCCACATGCTGTGCCCATCTGCTCTCTGTCTCCTTGTTCTATGGCACGCTCTTCTTCATGTATGTACGTCCTGGGTCTGGCCGAGATAAATACCAGGATAAAATGTATTCACTGTTCTACACGATTATAATCCCCCTGCTAAACCCCTTTATTTACAGCCTAAGAAACAAGGAAGTTTTAGGTGCACTGAGAAAAGTGATAAAGTAATAAATATTTTTTCAGGAAAACTTCCATGATACTTTTCATATTCTCTCTGTTTAAATAAATCATATCTGGTCCTGTGTTTTGCAAAGAGTAGGAACCTAATGTGTTCCTAAATGAATGAATAAAAAATTTAAACTAGATATGCTTGTCTTATATATCAGTTATTATCATCAAAATAGTTAATGAGCACTTTAGGGACAGACATCACTTACTTGTTTTAAATCCATACTCAAGGATGAAACAGAGACTGAAATCACTACATTGATGTCTGTAACATGAATGAACTCTTGTGTTTCCAGATATAGATATACATATTATGAAACGGTTTTGAATTTATATTTTTTTAAAGAAAGACTCAGTATGTGTAAATCCCTTGCTTAAAATGTATTCATGCTCACATAAATAATTCTCGAGAAAGGAATTTTTAAACCTCCTCTTAAGTAGATATTTATAATTATCCAAACAATATGTAAATTAAAATAATATTGTTAGACCGAAGATGACAATACACATCCTCTTAAAGCATTTAAAATGAATTTTTCTATGAGGTTCACAAGTAATTTTGAAGAGTAATATATTTCTATTGCNAATTTCTTGCACTGACCCATCTGTTAATGCTTTAGTTGTTTTTATTTTTGCTGCTTTTATAGAAACTTTAACTTTTATGACCATCATACTTTCTTATACCTGTGTCCTCTACGCCATCCTGAAAAAGAAGTCTGAGAAAGGCAGAAGCAAAGCCTTCTCCACATGCTGTTCCCATCTGCTCTCTGTCTCCTTGTTCTATGGCACACTCTTCCTCATGTATGTACGTCCTGGGTCTGGCCGAGATAAATACCAGGATAAAATGTATTCACTGTTTTACATGATTATAATCCCCCTGCTAAACCCCTTTATTTACAGCCTAAGAAACAAGGAAGTTTTAGGTGCACTGAGAAAAGTGATAAAGTAATAAATATTTTTTCAGGAAAACTTCCATGATACTTTTCATATTCTCTCTGTTTAAATAAATCACATCTGGTCCTGTGTTTTACACAGGGTAGGAACCTAATGTGTTCTTAAATGAATGAATAAAAAATCTAAACTAGATATGCTTGTCTTATATATCAGTTACCATCATCAAAATAGTTAATGAGCACTTGAGGAACAGACCTCATTTACTTGTTTTAAATCCATAGTCAAGGATGAAACAGAGACTGAAATCACTACATTGATGTCTGTAACATGAATGAACTCTTGTCTTTCCAGATATAGATATACATATTATGAAACGGTTTTGAATTTATATTTTTTTAATGAAAGAATCAGTATGTGTAAATCCCTTGCTTAAAATGTATTCATGCTCACATAAATAATTCTCGAGAAAGGTATTTTTAAACCTCCTCTTAAGTAGATACGTATAATTATCCATACAATATGTAAATTAAAATAATATTGTTAGACCGAAGATGACAATACACATCCTCTTAAAGCATTTAAAATGAATTTTTCTATGAGGTTCACAAGTAATTTTGAAGAGTAATATATTTCTATTGCGTTTATTAAAAGATACACAAATTTAACAATTAACATACAGTAATTTGACGTGCTTTTCTGCAATATAATCAGAAAAATTCTGAGTTCTTTCAAAACTTTTTCCTTTTCATTTTGCAGGCAATATTGCTGAACAACTTGTTCCTTTTACACATACACCAACTGAATATTTTTTTTTTTCTGGAACTGACAACTATCTGAAATAGCAGGCATGTTTGATCAACTCAGTTGAATAACTTCAGTTGATTTTTTTCGTATCTAAACTATGTATGTTTTCTGTCTGGCCATTTGGGGTGTATATAATCTTTGCCATCTTGGCTTTCTTGCATACGACCTTGTGAATGTGTAAAATAAAGAAAAAGATTTCTCCATGTACATGACACATTCCCCCTTGATTTTTTGATTGGCATGAAATAATTGTACATATTCATGANGGTACAGAGTAATATTTTGATGATCAAATCAGGCTAATTAGCATACCCATCACTGCAAATATTTATGAATTCTTCATGATGAGAACATTTGAATTTCTCTCTTCCAGGCATTTGAAAATACACAACAAACTATTGTTAATTGTAGATACCTAGCACGGCTATAGAATACTAGAACTTATTCTCCCTGTGTGGCTACAATTCTGTATCTGTTTATTTGAAGAAATAGAAATTTTCTGAATAGAACTCAAAGCCCAAAGTGGCAGACTAGCCTCAGGCACCGTTTCTTGGTCTGTCAGTTTCCGTAGAACCCAGTCCTCTCACTGCAGCTGAGCTGCGCCTTCTGCTGCCTGGCTCCATTCTAAGCGGATCGTCCTGCTACTGCAGAATTTCAGGAGAAGTTCCTGTCTTCAGCTCTCCCCAGTCAAGCCCAGTG